TCTTAAGGACTCTCCAATATTTAAATTAATTAATAGATTTAAACTGAAATCGCCTATCAGTGAAATTTTTGATTCTAGATAAGCGGACTCGAGAGCTGTTTATGCACAAAAACAAAAGTAGATTGTATGAACTGAAAGCTGAATACACGAGTTGCTAATTGTAATGTAAATTAGACGGTAAAAAGTAAATTGTCAATCTCAAAAATTATTAGAAAGCAGGCTTGCAGTAAAAACCATTTAGATAATGAGACTCTTCAGGTTTTGCCACTTGAAGTTGATTCAAAAATTGAAGTTATTAATGTTTGGAACTCATATATTTTATATTCGAAAAAGTTATGAACTCCTCACTAGTAACCAGATTGATTGAGTTGGTAGAAAATTGTATCTGTGTAGAAAAACTGAATAGTTTTGCCTGCTTTAGGAGGGTATAAAATGCTAAATGTTTAATACCTCAAATTTAAAAATAAAAAGTAGGTACTTTTTAAGTGAGTAAGGGTTTACTCACCTTACAACCATTTGAGGAATGGCACACCTTAAAAAATCGTAGGGTTTTACTATCTAACTTAAAGCCTAAAGTGATAATGAATAATCTCTGGCTGACTATAATGTATAAATTGTCGACCATTTATTTCAAAAAACATATACATATTATACCATTATTCGAGYYGAKWATACCATTATTTTKGWRAGCTTTKKTGGMCGTMAAWGAAACTCTTGAKWAWAWRRKGAKMWTTKKYGAMGTYATWAGAWAYTMTTGRKTAGTMAAAATGMTCAGTTTAACAACGTGAGGCCCAAACAATTTTTAATTGAAAATTAAAATMTAATTATTGATTCGAAACMTGAAGAGATCTRGGSATYTTTGCTTGTACGCAATAAACAAACAAACTTTTAGATCAGATCGTCTTCGGATAAACTAGAAAGCGGATTATCACATRAAAAACCCTGAAAATATTAACTTTTTTAAATTCCAAAACGACTGGKCAAGGGTTAGAAAAGTGGTGTACAAATKTCTATTAACAACTTTTTCGGAAGATTTGTTTCGAGGAAAATTATTTAGGACTTATGCAATGCTGGCTCCCCAACGAGCATTAAAACATTTTAAAATTATCTTGATTTGGCAAAAATAGCTGATAACTATCTAGAACCATTATGCATATAATGGCTGAAAATGATTCTTTTAAGGGACGCAAATTAAAAAAAAATTGAGTGTTCATAAACCATGAGTGATTTATGAAACTATGTTGCTTTTATTCTGGTGAATTTTCTTCTGAAAAATTTCTTTTCTGAAGGTAAAACAATTTAACATATTTATATTTAAGAGAGTAAACTTGGGTTTATTTCGATACCATAATTTTTCATAATGTAATCTTTTCAATCTGAACTTTAATTTAGGAAATTCTACTCATTTACTATAAACTTAATCTAATTTGTATTATTATGAGTACATTTTTTCTGGCGCCACTTAATTATTAAAAATGCAAAATTTTGGTCCCGCTGAAAACGCTTTTTTTAGGTAAATAAGTTGATCTTTAGGAATGGCAAACAATACCTATGACTGGTGAGTTTTCCGATTTTTAGGTCGTTGTTGATAATAATTTTTTCGGCATGTTTTGCAAGCACGAGTGTTTTGCATTTTCAGCTCTTATTAGTTAAAATTATTAAAAACCATTTTTATTAACCAACATTTCAGTTCTAAACCTCATCCTTTTCAAAATTTACGTTCATTTCCAACTCGCTGTATGCCTGTATAAATTTGCAATGCTTCAATGATTAATAGAATTTTACCAATCATATATTTACCTATATTCACGATGCTTTTTCTGTGATTTTTGCATTTATCTTCCTTTTGAAGCTGCCCAGTCAAACTTCTACGGGGCTCATCTTTTTGATTGCTCTGAATCGTGCTGTCTTCATCACTTTCAAAGGCTGGACTTGAACTTCTCTCAGATTTTTCCTCTTGCCCACAACCCTACATTATATGTTTTACTTTGAATTTCTTAATCTATCTATCTATCTATTAACACATCCAAACTACATAATTTTTTTAAATATTCTCTATGTCAATAAATTTTCGATTAAATTTAAGTAAATGTACGAATCAGCTGCACTCCACTACGAAACACTTTCCCATTACAACTGAGAAAAACAATTCTTGAACACAGAGCAGTAGTTGTATTATTTGAGATGGAAAGTTTGCTTTTTATACAAGCCTATTCGAATTAGTTTCGTTTTGAATTAAATACATTTTATTAAGAAAAACGAATTTAATATTGAAAACATAACTAATTTAGTAGAAAACAAAGTGTTGCAAATTGCAGTAATCACTGTCTTTAAATTGTCAATTTAATTGCAAATATGTATATTGGTATAGCTGCTTTATGAGCAGATAGAATTAAAAATAATATAAATATCGTTGCATAGTTTAACACTCAAACACATATTTTTAAAGTTTATGTAAGATTCTTTAGCTTTTCGGAGCTTTAGGAAGATTTATTTCATTTTTTGGTTTATATTTTTGGCCTGTTTTACTTATCTAAATTTTCTGCAGTTTTACAATTAAACGTTCTTAAAACATCTAGAAAGCTACCTAGTAGGTAGACTATTAATATAATTTAAATGATGCCAATTAAGAAAGCGATCAGAGATGTTAAAAGTACCTTGTTTGTTGAAAAATTAACGTTTCTTTCCATTGTTGCTACAGTGGTAGTTGTAGTATTTGTAGTGGAACTATTTTTGCTCGAGCTGGTGGTTTTCTGGCTGGAATTTGAATCTCCTGATCCACCTGCAGTGTAACTTTCTCCTACTTTTAAACCGTCTGGGATTGGCGACGGTTTTTTATCTAGAATAATAATTTTAAACTAGCATAGATGAAGAATCGAATTATATAACCCAAATAGTCTGTTAGCATAGTCGCACAGTCACCAACAGATTGAAAAATCAGCAAATGTCTACATGGAAAATTTGCATCTTTTACACATTTACTGCAAAAAAATTCTCTTGGGAATTCGCTTTTGAAAATTGTATATAGACCTGTTGAGAATTCGCGTCATAACCGCTCTATATATTTAAAACAATATTCAATAGAATAGAAATTTATAATTTCGTTCATCTAATTACCTTCATCTAAAAAATTATTGTCATTTGAATCTTGCTCAGCCTCTCTATGCTTCTGACTGTCAGTCATGCCTCCACCTCTACTCTTCAGGTCCAACGAGGATTTATTATTGGCTAATCCGATGCCAGCAGCCCTTCCAGCCATCCCTATTTTTTAATAGAATGCGAATTAATTATTTTGCTATTTAGTTGGAGGTTTTTCGTTTTAAACTACCTGACATTGCGCCTGCACTTAATGCAACCATCGACTGCATTTTCCTCTGCTTGGCTTCACTTTTCTTTTGCATGTCATATGCGGTTTTGTAAATTCCTGAGAAAATTACTCAATATTATGAATAAATACACACGCGAGGCGAAACTGTTCAAATCAGAACGTTGTAGATCCAAAGAAATTTACGTTTTATGTTCTACCAGTCAGTCCAACTCTTACCTCCATATAAGATGAAGAGGACTATAAGAGTCGACCAAAAATACGCAATAATTAAGGAAGTGTTGAAAATGGGTTCTTTGAGAAACTGAACTGCACATTCTCCCGGAAGAAGGTCTCTGTAACCAATAAAGTGCTCCCAGCCAAAGATGCTGATGAAAAAGAGCAGGGCCGGTATAATCCAAGTAATTACCACCATTAAAATAACTCGTTGTTTGGTTCTCCAACTGAAAAAAAATTAATTTATTCAATATAAAATTTCAAAAACTAACCGTTGAACTATCTCTATTTTTTAAACACGGATTTTAGCAAAAAAGTAGTAGTTCCTATATACATAATTTAATGTAACCATTAATTGTTGTTGAAAATGTAATTTTTGTACTGTTTTACATTGTTTTATATTGTAACATTTGAGTTAGGGAGTAATTGGAGTTCAAAATCAATTTCAAATGTACTGATAGACACTAAACATATAGCAATTAAAAACATTTTATGACACAGAGTGGTTTATATGGTTTACAAACCACAATTTTTTCTTGAATCGGTGATGAACTTGTGTATTTCATAAAAATATTTGCACCCCTCGGTTTGTTTTAAAGTTTGACTATCACGGTTTATTTAATTTTATTTGCTATTTCTTTCGCAATAATTTTATGATTTCTGAGAATAAACAGTAAGAAGTTATGGACTCATAAAGACTTCACTGGTAGTTTGTTTTTCTATAACAAATAAGCCAAGTTTGTCCTTTATGTATTTATTAAATTTCTTAACTTTATTTAATTTTAATGAAGCTAAGAAAACTATTTCCTCAAAATCCAATTTATAAATAAATTATTTCGTATTCACTTAAGATCAAGTTGATCAAGTATGAGTTTGTAATGCGTCTTGAATCAGTTTTTATATAATTATTTAGTAACATTTTTATAGGCTTACAGTTCTATAAAAGTTGTGACTTATAATAATACGTGAGAGGATTTCTAGAAGTGCCTAGATGGCAATTTTAAAATTAGGCCTTTTCTACCATATTTTGTTTCCATTTAAGCTCCGATTGCAAAAATACCCATTTTAACGATTAATGTTTCATTATTTTTCCACTTTCCTTTAGTGTTGCACAAGGAAGTGCTGAAACCGAAGAAACTATTGAAAACCTTCACATAAAATACATTTTTAACCTGACTATTATTTTAAAAATACATAGAAAAATTACGAAGTAGCTTCAAATATAAAGAAAATAGCCATATTTGCAAAACTTTTGTCGACAAACATTTACGGAGACTCTCTTTATACGAATTTAACTCTATGTGAATATATCTGGATGCAATATATATTGTTCCTATGTATAATATTTAGATGCCATTTGTACTTACTTACCTTCGATACTTCGTAGCAATTTTTACTGAACAAAATCTATCTATTGTTATCAGCAAAACAGTGTATTGTGAGACCAAGCATACTGTATAGTCTACAGAAAGCCATAGATCACATAACAATGGCCCCAAATCCCAATACCCCATCAGCACATAAACTGCGAAGAATGGCATCGACACTGTTCCTAAAAAATATTTTGTATTTGTTTATAATCTTTTTATCCCACCAATTTTACTAGCATTTTTTTTTTTAATTACGTCGGCTCTTACCAATAAGCATATCCGTGGCTGCAAGTGATGCAATGAAATAATTGCTGGGTTGTCTTATACTCCGATCCACAATGAAAGCAAGAAGAACCAGGATATTGCCCGAAACTGTTAGAACGATGCACATTCCTAATCCAATGGCTATTAGTAGAGATTGCCAGGGTTCAAACGGTGCTAAGATCGGTCCTATTGAGGTTGCAGTTGATACACTAGAGTTGAAATCAGATGATTCTAGAAAAAAATATTCATTATATTTTGATAATGTTGCAGAAGAAGGTTAATTAAAGGACTCGATGATTTATGTTATTTGCTTTTTTCAGTGGCTTCTAATAAAGTTACTTGAATCTCTAACGCCTTAAAAAATAGGCCCCAAATTTAACGCAATTCAGTTCAACGTACTTAAAATACTTCCTCTTTTTGTATTTAAAAATGTTTCTAACAGAACGAGAAATAAACATATGCATATTAATTGAATGACTTATTTTAAGTACGATGGAATTGCCATTTGCTCTTCAAGGGATGTAAAGCTGCCGGCAACCGCTCTTCCCCAGAAGCATTTTCGGATCTTGAAAATTATATTTCTAATATTCATAGTTTAGAATGGGGACAATTAGCACTGTTAAATATATCAAAAGCCTGCGTTAACTGCATCTGTAATTGATCCGTTATGATCAAAGACAAATATTTATTTTTTTCGTTTCGGCAGTATATGTTATAATGATTCAAAATTTGCCATTAAAGCTTGATACACGTTAGACACATTTACTATATAGAATAGAATAGAGACAGCGAGGTTAAAATTTCTGGAAACAAATGATTATGATAAAATTCTGAAAGTTAATTTATTCATTTCCATTTTTCTTCTTTATTAAGTTCTAAATTTTAAATCGAGAAAAAATTAAATTTTAATATTGGTGGTATAGGGTTGAAAAACTATTGAAAGATGTGAGCACTTATGCGTAAATAATTTTTAAATTACTTGCGCGATTTTTGCAATATGATGTTTGTGCGAAAAGAAAATGTAATTACTTTTATGCATC